TGAGCACAATGGTTTAGTTCGTATTAGTCTACTGACTAAGTGTAGAGCTTTGTAGAGTGGTGAGCACAATGGTTTAGTTCGTATTAGTCTACTGACTAAATGTAGAGCTTTGTAGAGTGGTGAGCACAATGGTTTAGTTTGTATTAGTCTACTGACTAAGTGTAGAGCTTTGTAGAGTGATGAGCACAATGGTTTAGTTCGTATTAGTCTCTTGACTAAATGTAGAGCTTTGTAGAGAGGAAAGCAAAATATTTTATTTCTTAATATTCTCCCAACTAAATATTAAGCCTTGTTGACTAGAGAACACTGGTTTAGTTCCTATTTGTCTTCTAACTAATCCTTTTAGTGGAGGACACTTTAATTTCATATTTATCAGTCATTTAGAGTGGAAATTACAGTTGCATAACACTTGTTAGTCTTACTAAATGTAAAACCCTGTTGAGTGGAGAACACAGTGATGTACATATTATTAGTTCCTGATTTAATATGGAGAGTATAGTGATTTAATTCTTATTAGCCTTCTGATGAAGTATAAAACCTTGTAGAGTTCAGTGCATGAGGTTTTAGTTTTAAGTAGTATAATGTCAGTTGTCATTGCATATAATTTCTTTAAAAAAATTAACATTACACTAAATACAATTGCTATGGGCTTTCTCGACTTATTTAGGTTTAAAATACACAATCATAATTCATTAAAAACCATATGCTTATCACTTTGTAAACATGCATTCAGATGTTTCTGCATATTCAGCTAAGTTTGCCTTCATTACAACTTTATATTTACTTTACTTTGCAATAATTTAGTTTTGGATCATTTCATATCCTGCTATAAACACGTTTTAGCTGCTTTATATTTTATTCTTTGTTTTTGTGAGTTTCTTTGTAAAACCATGTGTACACTATTATAAATACCATTACTTTACATGTAGTTTTATTAAATAAAGTTATATCAGTGTAAGTTTGTTTGTCTAACTGCATAAAATGTTTTCAAACAGACCAGGATTTATTGATCTAATCTATAATACCTGCAAAAAAGCATAGTTTAAATTTTTTGCATGAAAATGGTAGAATAAGGAAAATTCAAGGAAAGGGCATGAAAACTATAGCAAATGTTTTGAAAGTCATGGCTAGTTTATGTAATATTAGTTGTTTTTTTACTTCACTGTATAGTGAAATCAGAACTATAAGAGAAACTGGATGACTATGTTAAATTGATATTGGTGGTATTTAGTTATGACTGTTGAATGTAACCTGTGTTTGGTTACCATATTAATGTAGTTAATTTTTTTTTTTCCGAGCACTTGAATATTATACATATCCATGTTTTAATCTTCTGATTGCACTTGAAATAACAGAAAAATGTAGAAAATGCATGTAATGTAGTATTGAGAAAAAGTTATAAGGTGATTCTGTTTTCAGGACACGTGCTTCAATAAACATTTTTTTTTCCAGTAAAAACTCTCATAAAACTCGAGACTTGTGGTGGCAAGGTATACCTCCGAGTGTAAGGGGAGATGTGTGGAGACTTGCCATTGGAAATGAGCTCAATGTTACTCAGGAGCTGTATGACATCTGTGTTAGTCGATCAAAAGAGAAGCTCTGGTTTTCAAATGAACCTCCAGCTTCAGGTACAAGTAGTTCAGCAAGGACTTACTATGTTTATAAACATATAAACATGACAGAAGAATAATCTTTAATGTGCACTAATTTTGTCTATTTGATACTAAACATATTTTTACTGAAGTTTTAATTTTTTTCACATGATCTGTGTAGTTTTGAAATAGAAAAATACTCAGTGGAACTCAAATAAACAAGAGTGATTTAATATGTTTATTTTAGTTTTAATGTACCCTCCTGTGGTTTTAGAATCTTAAATGAAAAATGTGACATATATCTTCGTTGTTAAATAATGTACCATGTTGTTTTGTTTTGTTTTTGAATAGATATATGTAATAGTAATGAAACAACAGCAGATCTGATCAAACTTGATGTCTCAAGGACTTTTCCTCATCTGGGAATATTTCAAGAGGTGCAGTTTTGTGAAAATATGTATAATTAAAAATTTCTAGTATACTCATATTATGGACCAGTTTAATTTTTTACATTGTTTTAAGCTTAACTACATCTACCTTTATTTAGTAGAATTAGTTCTGTAAACAACTTCATAAGTTTCATTTCTGTTCAGTACGATTTCAAATGACCAGTTGTTGTTTTTTCATTGAAGCAGAACAGGTAGATATCAATAAAAGGTTTTAATTTTGCTTTTGTCTAAGAAGTAATCCTGTTGATGATAGTTTGTTTATAAGGAAAATAAAGACAGTGTAAATGTAGTTTGGATTAGTTTTGTAAAGATCTGAGTATTTTGAAACAATAAAATATATTGAGCAAAATCTACAAAAGCTCTGGAAATGTTTTTGAGTTTTAAAATAGTTCCAAATTTCCAATTGTTGATTTTGACGTACTGATATTTTCAACGTATTATTGAAGAGCATTTATTAGAAAAATCAGAAAATATTATAAGTCATTATTTCAGTGTAATAGAATAAAATGTTTTAAATTACAATAATATTGTATAATAGTATAATTTTGCTATACTATTTTTTAGGGTGGACCTTATCATGATCTTTTACAGGATGTCTTGGGGGCCTATGTAATATATAGACCTGATATCGGATATGTAAGTTATTATGATTTAGATAAATTTCTTTAAGGTTTGATTTTGAAAAGACCACTTGGGTGAATTTCAGAAATGTTTACTCTTTTTCTGTAATACAAAGAGCTATTACCTCAACCCACTGCCATTAAAATATTTACACATGCCACAAGCCTTGAAAGAAGCTCCCATCATTACCTGTACTGATAAGTATTTCACCTATTTACCATAGTAAATGACTAGTTGTTTTTTCCTTGAAATAGAACAGGTAAGTATCAGTATCCATGTGCAATAATCTCCATAAACCCTAGCATTTTGAACAGAGGCTTATTCTTTCTTTGGCACTGCTTGTCTTCAGATGTGTTCAAATTTGTTTCTTTATTTTCAGAATTATGTGATTTTGATTTTCTATCTTAACATTCAGTTAAACCTTATTGTTTCACTCATCTTGTTTTTACTAGATTATTTTTAAAGTAAGCTTGACTTACTACTACTTTGTATCAAAAAATGTTTTGTGGGTCATTTTGACAATGAATTCCCAGATCCACATTTCTGCTACCTTCCAAAGTCCTAACACTTCACATCAGTAGCCCATTTCTGTAGTGACTGGAGACACCCTGACAGTCAGCAATGCTACTGCCATTGTGTACCAGATATTTGATTCTATTTTACCTTCATCTCAGATCCAGGTTCCTCGGCCTCTTGTTCCTGTAGCTATAGCTGAGACTACCTCATCTTTCACCAATTTTGACCAAATTTTCCCATTACATGCCTTTATTTCTGCTTCTTCTCTTCCTGATGAGGAACAGGTAACCCACCTTCGTTATTTCTATTTTTCAGATATGTAACATTCTCTCTCTCTCTCTTTTGCTAGTTGTTCTTGATAAGTCTCAGGCTATATTGCTGCAAGAGCTTCCTTTTTCTGGCTATCTTCTCCCCTTCCCTGACATTCATACTTATGCTGTTATCTTCTTTGTCTCAACTTTGCACTGACTTCTAGCAGCCTTATCCTTCTTGAGTTTGTTACACTTTTTCTATGACTTGTGGTGAAGAATCTTCTACTTTCCTTGAGATTTAACCCATTAAGTATCTCCTTCCAGCTTGTGGATCCCCCCTTTTCCTACTTTTTCTTTTGCTCATCTTCATCTTGTTCTTACACATTTCTTTTGTTGTTTGTCTACATTTCACCTTCTATCAGAAGTATTCCATTGCAACCTTGACAGCTTCAATGGGGACATTTGCTTCTACGTGTTTGCCATCTTGGCCTCAAGCTCTTCTTCTGCAGTGTCCCAGTTGACTGGGTTTCTTTGTTTATGGGATTTCCTTACACTTTGAAAATTATTCTAAAGCTGCTTATCAGCAGTCTTCTCTGATAGCTTTGGTTTCCCAAATTTCTCAGTGCAGAGGATCCTAACAGGTTTCTCAATCTCTTTAGTCTCACAGGGTTTCACCATCCTCTTGCTCCATATCGATGTCATTCCTCTTGGAGTGCTGGCCACTGCAGATTACAGAGATTGACCATGTTATTTTGTACTCAACTTCCTCTTTCTCCTTCTCCAGTTACCTTTTTACTCCCCTCACATCCCATGCACTTTCAGCACTAAGAGGAGACTGTCTTCTTTACAGGTTATGAATGCCATAGAACAAGTTTTTGACCCCTCTCCCAACTTTTTTGTCATTCCCAGGAAGAAAGGAGATTGGCACCCTTTTATAGATTTCTTGTTCCGGAACCAATTTCTTGTCATTTCTTGGCTCAAAAGAGGCAATTTTCTCAATCTGAAGTTAATGTGCTGTCATAGGTTGTGAGTGACCAAAGTTGATGTTGTGTATGCTTTTATCCACACCCACAATCATCAGATTTTCCAGTTCCGGGCCCTTCCTTTTGTGTTAGCCATGGTCCTATACATTTTCAATTGGATCATGAGAGCATTAACATGGTGGTAACATTTGTTAGGTTTCCATTTCTACTATTGTATGGATGATTTACTCCTTTCTCCATCCAAAGAAGCTTCCATGATGGCAACACCCCTCATCTCATTTGAGTTGACTGATCAAGTTCCCCAAGTCTCTCTTGACCCTCATTCACTATAAGGTTCAATTCGGGTGTAGGGAAGATTCAGCCATCTCCTTTACATCTTTTAGAGATGGAGCTTCTAGTTACCTAAACTCTCATGTCTCCTTCTCTTCCTGTGTGAAAGTTTCTGTCACTTTTGGAAACTCTGGCTTCACTCATGTTTCTTGACCATCTTGGATGCACTCATACATCCCCTTAAGTGGAACCTGACTATTCAGTGGAATACGTCCAGTTATTCCCTGTTGTCTCAAATATCTCTCCCTCCATCTCTTTACCTCTCACTGTTGTGATGGCCCAATTGGTCTCATGCAATGCTGGATGTCCATTTTCCCCCACTTCACCTGGACCTGCTTCTATTCACTGATACTTCATTTCTGCATAGGAGGCAGTTCTGGACATCTACAATATCCAGGATATAGTCTTCATAGAAGCAATCCCTTCACAATAACATCCTAGAACTGTTAGCCTCTCAAAAACCCTGCTATCATCTTTAGTGTCATGATCTAATCATTTTGTGATGATCCATATGGACAACTCCAATTTCTTGCCTTACACCAACCAAGAGGGATGCACTTGTTCTCATGACCTCTGGATTTTCCTTTTTAGGCCCATGACACTAAATTTGATTGTCAGTTTGTCATGTCCTGGGAGCTTTCAATGTGGTTATAGACCAACTGTCATTGCCCATGGAGGATCTGTCTGTCCATTCTCTGGTGTTTCAATGGATTTGTTCACAATCCCAAGTTCACTCATTGTTCAGGGCTCATACAGCCTGATCACTTAAATTCTTAAAAGTGCTTGAATTTGCAAAAAAAAAAACTTCAAGGTCTTGCAAATCCTTAAAAAAATACAATCATTAGAAAATGTGTTTGACTTCTGTGATCAGTCTCTCTCTCCCATGTTAAGCAGACTTTAGGTTGAGTTAAAATGTAGAATTCATTGTGAATTCTTTAATAAAACAGTTATAAACCATTGCGGTGATGTACAAAATATTTATTTGGTATACAGGCCTTTTTTTGAGTAAACTACATGTGTTTGAAAGTGCTTGAATTCTGGAATCACTTTCCCAAGCTAACCAGACTTTAGTTTGAGTTGAAATGTAGAATTCATTGTGAATTATTTAATAAAACACCTAGACACTGGTGCAGTGATGTAACAAACATTTTTATTGGCCTACAGACATTTTTGTGGCAAAAACTACAAATTTGCAGTGATTCACTCCTGCAAATGAATTTGCGCATGCAATTTGCAAGTTTGCTTAAATGAATATGTTGTGACAAGAAAAAATAGCCAGAAAACATATACTTTAATTTATTAAATATTTGTGTTATATTACAATGAGTGGTGCACCGATTAAGATGCTCCTTTTCCTGTCCAGTACCCCTTTTTTGAGATGAAATTTCTGAGCCAGGTATACTCTGGCCTTTAGTAATGTGTCACTAAAACATAAATGACAGAAACATTATAAGCAGTAAAGGGAACACAGGTGTCAATTGGCTAGGGTGCGACAGACCATAAATGTGAGTTCGACCTCAACCAACACTTGGCAGCATCTGGAATTGTACATTAGATCTGTGGTAAAAAGTGGATCCTCCATCTGGTGTGGTCTCCCACTGGTGTGTTGTTTTTAATTCCTTATTACACTTCACGATCTTCCTTTGGGCACTTCCTAAAGGGGGATCATCTTCTCACTACCCCTCCACCAGTTCAGTGTGGGATTATAGGTTTTTGTGAGAAGTGGTGAGGTATCATATTATTGGAAGTTTACATTTTCCTAAACTGAAAATATATTTCCAATAGATATTTACCTCCTTCACATTTTACACCCTCCCAACTTCTGGTTTATTGGTTGACTTGATCATGGCCAATCTCGAGGTGATTAACAGGTGCATTATTAGAGAGGGCCTAGTTACAATATGGGTAGTGTCACACTCCTATTGGTGGAGGGTTGCTGCATGATCATTTGCATGTAGATATACAGAAAGAAGTGGGAGTTACAAAGTTAGTGGTGATCGAAAAATTTGTGTTGAAAAAGGGCAGTACTAATTAAGACAGTTTTTTGTGAGTAGAGGTAAGTTTCAAAAATATATTTTCAGTTTAGGAAAAGTTAACATTTTAGGCCTAGAATTACTCCTTGTATTTATGTTTGAAAGTCTCTGAAGAGTCCTTAAATTCTGTTACAAAATAAGTGTAAGATACCTGATTGATGCCTTTGTGGTTTCTTTTAACACCAAGCTTCCTCTTTTCTGGTCCCAAATCCTTAACTCTACATCTGATACTCTGAGCCAGGATTGGACCAATCTCTTTCTTTATGCCTAGCTTCTATTTCAACTTCTTCCCAGGTCTTTCTCATTGGTCCTCTTTGGCTGACTCAGTCATATTTTTCACTTCTGTGCCTTTTGATGTCTGGGAGCTTCTTCCATCTTGGAGGTCCCCTTTAAATCAGCTTTGGATATCCATTTTTCACCATGGAGTGTCATGAGTGGAATTTGTCAGGTCACTGGCAAGACAGGAAAGCTTTTCTCACAGACTACCCCATTTTTTTTTACTTTTTTTTTGCCATCCATCTACCTTTCCACTTGTATCAATGTAAATGGGTGTTTTGCCACCATTTGTCCATTTGCCACTCACTTTCTCTAGATAATCCTTCTCTTCCTCATCTCACTTCCTTCTTTTACCTGACTTTTCAAAAACAATATATGTTTCTATGATTGCTGGTTATAAAACAGTTTTGTCAATAAGCTTCCATCTCTTCCAAAAGGCATTCTCCTCTTACACTGGCTCATATGGACTTCTTCTGAGTTTTTCTCATCAGTCATCTTCCTTGTCTATTCCCTCTTCGAGAATGAAACATCTTTGTCATTCTCTGGGCCCTAACATGTTCCCCATTTGAACCTTTGGCTACCCGTTCCATGTATCATTTTTCTTTGAAAATGTATTTTGTTCTTTC